TTTGCCTTCTCCCTTGAGGGAGAAAGATAATAGTGGTGCCACAATCTCAAGGCCACAACTCAGGTGCTCTTGTACCCCATTTCCCTTCTGATGAGCCCGCTACGGAGCTCTAGAGGCTGGATTAGGGATGCTGGTGGCCCTGGCCTTCACAGTCAAGGCAGTGGCTCTTTAGGGTTTTATGCAGAAGCTTTCCTCAACTCTTCCTGCCCGTGGCAGAGATTGAACCCAAGAGACCTTCCAACATGCAAAAGCATTGCTTTAAAAAGTTAAATACTGTATTTTGGATCTCCTAACCACCATGGCTTTGAAGGTTGTATGTCCAACAACATAATTTCTCCATGCTCTGTGCAAAAAGGGTAAGTTAATAATAGAAGATAATAATAGAAGAAATTCAGTCAGCCAGTTAATCTCAGCTTCAATGATACTCAAATGCTGAACAAGGAATTGTGCATACAGCACTCTTCTGATTCAGTCCCACAAGAGCAGAATCCCCAGTGTCCTTACCAAAGTAGCACAGATTTTAAAATGCACAAGAAGTATCAGACAGCCCAACCCTAATTGCAGAGATAATGGCCACCTACCTTGATAATGACACTGATGTTGTGGAAACAGTAACACAGACATTGTCCTGTAGATGTACATCAGGGAAGGCAACCTGTCACCTCCCAGATGATCTGGACCAGTCTCTTGTCAGTTCCCGCAAGCATGACTAACAATCAGAGACTATGAGACTCTTTATCCAAAACATCTAGGTGACACCCCAATGGGATGATCCCAAGTAGGCATTTTTAGAGTAGGCTCATTGAAAAAAATGGGGATTTGTTTACTAGCAGAAGTCACATTGGACTTTAGATCTCCTGTTGTCTACATACCCTAATCAGTCAGCCATCTCTCTTGCCATAGATGAGCTTCCTTTTGTCTTATAACTTCTCAGGAAGGCAGCTACCATATGGAAATTTCTACAGGTTATTGGGCTTGGTGCATCTTTTCTTGTGACAAGTTTTTTTTGCTCTAATCAGTCTTCTTTACCATTTATGCTCTTTGTTTTGGGTGAACAGCAGTAGTTAGGCTGCAGCACTGTATTAAGCAGAAGTTGGAATGCTAGGAATGCAGTTGACCAAGAATGTATAGAAGAGTGGTTTGTTTAAAAAAAAAATAAAGAAAGGGAGTGTTTCTTAACTTGATAGTAATTCAAGAATGTATCTTTTTGGAGACACAGGGTCCCTGGCACTAGCAGAATAATATGCAGAGAATTCCACAGTGTTTTTTTCCCCACAATTCCAAAACACATCATTAAATGTCACGACACAGTTTGGGTATTGTTCGTCCCACAAAGCAAGAGGCTTGGCATGCATTCATGTGCACTTTTTTAGTGTAAGATTCTGTCCCAGACTAGATAATTCATGTCTCTGTTAGGTCTGTGGCTGAACCCAAGTGGGAACAAGACACGGGCTGACAACAGATCTGAGTGTGTATTTTTAACAACTAAACAGCAAACCATTGGACACTAGTTCACTATTGGGATATCCTCACAAGTCTCCTCAGAACTAGGGAAACTTCCAATTAAAGCCTGCCACATAAAACATAAGGCCAGCATTTTATTAAAGCAATTGTATAAACACAGTAATTAAAAAAATGGTGTCTAATTTTACTTCTGCTATGAGTGTTCACTGTTTGTCCTTTGAAGGATGCAGAAAACATTCAGATGACCCCCTTGTTGGGTCAGCAACAGTTGTTTCAGTTTTTAAATAGACTGCTCACTGATCCCTGGATGTTTCCCTTAAGCTGTAAACTGTGCAGAGCATGCACACAGAATCACTTGTTGCATCAGAGCAGCTAAGGCTAAGGGTAGCTGAGCCAACAGGACACACAAACTCAAGCCTAATACCCACCAAAGTGGAATGGCTAGGCACTGCGGACTGCCATGAATGGCTGGCATCTAGAATCTGCATTTGAAGCTGGATGCTAGACTAGAACTTTTCTCTTTCATGAGTTTTCTATACGAAGTAAAACTGGGTAGAAAGAATGTTTCATTTCATGGACCTAAATCCAACTGCTAATCCCAGCCAGAATAGATTCATTGAATCAACTGCTGAAGGGTGAGGGACACTTACGTCAATTTCATTGAGTCAATGGAATTCCTTAAACTGGAGACTACCAACTGGATTCTGGCCATGAGAGCTAGCTTTCATGGATATAGCCCAGATACAGGATTACTACCTCACTGAGACTCCGCTGAAAGAACGAAGGACAGGCAGGACATCAAGGCAAAGAAGAGCAACAGAGAAAAGCGAGCAAAGGAACAAAGTTGAGATGCACAAGAGCAGTTCAATGGCTCTAACAGTCTGTTCATGCATCCTGGACCCTTTTCTTACGAAAGCACATTTCCACTTGCTTGCAGTGATCAGTGTCATCTACTTAAAATGATTCTTTTTTTCCCCTGAACATACTTCCTATATATAATTTGAAATGGTCACCAATCCTCAAAAAGGAAGCTCCCTGCTTTTTTTTTTTTTTTTTTTGCAGTGAACTACTACAAATCTGTTGATCAGCTGGACTAAGTGTAAATACAATTGTGCATCTGAATGTACATCCAGTTAAAGTAATCCCTACATTCTGATGCACTGTCAACCACTGTTGTTTTGTTTTGTTTTTTCATTCTTTCTCTCCATTTTTACAAGCAGGGAGCAAGCTCCCTTCTTTTTTTTTTTTTTTTTGAAAGGTGTAATTTTCTTGGCATAGGCACTATAGCAGCAATGATGTGTCATCCATTTAGTGACTGAAAGTACAATTGTGTGTTGATACTTCCAGAAACGTTTCTACAGAAGGAGAGACCTTCGGATGTTTGTAGCCCCGCCGTTTTGCTCTTACAGGCAGTTTAAAATTTATGCCGCTGATATATTATTCAAATGTATTTTCATTAGGTGAATGTATCTTGAAACGCTGCATCCGAGTGGGTTGCAAAATGCACGCTGGCAATCGGCGCTAAAAAGAATTACACAGTTAAATTGTATATTATCATGTAAATGGCAAAGGAACACCACATGGGACTCTGTGCATTGTGCTGAGTGATAAAAAGCTGCAAGCTATAAATAAGAGTTAAATAAAGAGACCTGTCAGTTGAAGCAGCAGAGAGAAAGCCTTCTAGAGCAAGTATAAGGGCTGAGAACAATACTTAGTTAACAGCCTTATGTATTTTAAAGACCCAATGGCTAATGTATGTAAAAACACTATTGTGCTTTGAGTCTTGAGAGGCAACTATGATCAAGATGATTCAAACCAGGCCCATCACTTGAGGTATTGTTATCAGAAAAGATGCTGTCTACTGGCAGTGGAACTCAATAGATCTCTTCGGATATCGGTCTGCTCGAAATGATGTCAGCTACACTTATCTGATATTTACAGATTGCACGTTGGCTCCCAGTGTACAGAAACATATATTTTGCCAGATGTGACAAGAGATTACACTCCCATCTAATAGATGGCTAAAGTTGGAAGGGATTAAGCTGTCTTATTCCATACTTTCCTGTTTATAAAGAGAGACTGTTTGTTAACACCAGCTTCCCAAGAACATAAAAAACATTCCTGGACCTGACCAGAGACCTATCTTGTACAGCATTGTTCCAACCGTGGTTAACAAGATGCCTACAGAAGGCCTACTAAAAGATCTAAAGGGTTTCCATGGCTAGAATGGCAATAAGAGACTGGCCCTCCTACTGCAGAATTTCCATAACAGATTGCCTCTCATAGCCTTATTATCCATGATTCCACCCCTTCCCAGTCTTTTAAAACCATTCAAGTTAAAAGAATTTTGCAGATACTCTGGACTGCCAGAAAGACAAACAAGTGGGTCTTTGACCAAATTCTGAACAATCTAGGAACCCATCAACATGTGGGTCCTAGAACAAAGCCTAAACTCTCTAGAAGCAAAAATGACTCAACTTAGGCAGTTGTACTGTGGGTACATTATGGGAAGGGAGACTTGCTGGAAGAGACAATAATGCGAAGAAAAACTGAAGGCAGCAGGAAAAGCAGAAGACCAAATATGAGATGGATTGACTCAATAAAAGAAAACATGACATTTTGGAGGTTACTGATTCATAGGGTTACCACAATCAGAGATAACTTGATGCTAGAGAACAAGAAGTTGGAGAGCATAACCATATCTTGTGGTACACCATCTCATTGTTTTAACCATGCACTCTCCTTGTAATGGCACAAATGGCCTCAAATTCAAACAAACTGAAACCAAAGGATCTCCTTTACTGGAACAGGGTATCAACACTCAGTAAAAGTTATAATACATTTTATTTAAGTTTCTGTACTTGCTCCCACTAGGATCAGGACAGAAACTGAACTAAAACATACCTCTAAATTATTTTGGCAGGAGAAACTACTTACGACTTTTCCATTTGTTATCCGTTTCCCAGAAACCAAAATGGAAAAGGAATTAACAGCTGCTGAATATGGCATATGCTCTCAGAGATGTTCCTGTTTTACAGTCTCTGGTACTACTGTAACAGGTTTTTTTCCTACCAATGTGAGAAGCAGCTAGCAGGAATTTTAGTCTCTGCTGAAACTTGAACTGTCTGAATCGATACTTTATTTCTTCTTCTTCTTTTTTAAAGAAACTGTTTTCCTGGAAATATGTGGAGGTATAATCACTCAGCTCAGCAATGACTACAAGATAGGTATGTTAAGTATTCCTCAATGCATGCATGGTTTTGGATAGCTAAAGCCGAAAAATGGGGCAAGCATACAAATTCCCCCCCCCCCC